CCCAGCTTTGCTTTTCAGTTTAAATTCTCCAATAAGATGGTAAACGTGTTTTGAAATGGATTTACTATTGTGCTGTATGCGAGTCACTAGGCAGACATTAATAAAATAAGAGCTTTTCTTTTTTTTTTTTTTTTTGCTTCATGAACTGACTTAGTTATAGACCTACTACCTTACGCTCTGGTCTAAGTTAAGACATTATTTAGTATCCTGCTATTCTTCATGGCCCCCTCTCTGTTGGGCCAACACAGGTCAACGTCTTTAATTAGGAACAACAAAATAGTTTCAGGGGTTTTAACTCTTTTGAGTAAAATAACTAATCCCTTAAGAAGGATTACCACATTGCTGTCAATGTTTGTTTGTTAAGTGGCTATAAGCTCAAATTGTTGTTTGCACATTAGTCACACTATTGAAAATTAGTCAATTTTTTTTCAATCTTTTGTTAGATAAACTGTTAATTATTTTATTTCATTTATTTATTTTTTTTTTTCAATTAGCTTACGACAGTTTGAGATCCGAATGTGAGAAAACTAGTTATTTCTCTGATCAGCAAACCAATTCATTGGACAAACTCATTTTTTTGGTGACAATATCTTGAAGATGTGATTAAATATTAAGCTGTCATCTTGCAATCCGTGATCTCACCAGAGATCTTATCGTAATTATGATTTTGTTGTACCTTAATCTGTGGGCTTAATCTTTCCCTCCACGTGCTGACATGAACATGACATCTGGAGAAGAGGAAAGATGGTTTTAAGATTTATGTAAGTAGGTTTAGAGGCATGCTGATGCTCTTGGGATGTGATGGGGACGGGGTGGAGTTCTGCTGGGTGAAGGCTGGTGGCTGCATGTTACCCCCTAAAATCCAGCAGGACGTCCCCTCTGTGACGTGACGTGGGAGGGGATGTCCCGCACAAGCACCACTTTAAAAACCATCAGCAAAGATGCTCCAGAACAACAGAGAGAACTATTTTTCCAAAATAAGACTTGAGAAGAGAGGGAAAAGTTTTGGTAGAAACAAACAAACAAAAAAAAAAAGTAGGAATTTGTGAATCCTGACATTTCTTACGGCCTTGAAGCGACCAATGTGGCTGCTCGGATCTACATCCCAAATGATGACGATGGTGGACGAGCGCGTCTCTCCCTCCGCACGTTCCATGCAGAGCCCGGGAACCAACCCGTCCACCGTCCACAGCATCGAGGCCATCCTGGGCTTCAAGGACGACACCATCTTCCACCAGCCAGCCTCTTACACCGGGACACAGAGAGACCCGGAGCGCGGCGGGAACGTTCCTGTGACCCAGAGGAAGAAAAGTCATTACACTGACAGTTGTGACAGTGAGTAGATTTAATTTTTGGGTCTTTTTGCTTCATTTCTGACAATAATATTTGAAGGATATATTGGATTATTACTTTCTTTAAGTAATACTTTTTTTTTTAAAAAAAACTTAAAAAACACCACTTTTGTTTCCTCGGTAAAGTCACAAGTGGGGTCAAATAATGTAGAAGGTGTTGCTTCATAAAAAGCTAAAGAAAGTTTTAGCAAACAAACAAAACAAAAAAAGCAATAACTCAAAAAGGAAAAAAAAGTATTGGTTTGTCCTTAAAACTTTTCAAAGGAAAACAGTAATTTCGCTTTTTTTTCCTTTGAGTCACTGAACGCCTCCTTCCCCTCCGGAGCAGGTGTGTGCACCGCGGAAGCTTCCGCAGGTCCCGACGCCGGACAGAGACGGGAAGCTGTCCGACGACGAGAACCAGAAAAAGAAGCACCGCCGGAACCGAACCACCTTCACCACCTTCCAGCTCCACGAACTGGAGCGGGCCTTCGAGAAGTCCCATTACCCGGACGTGTACAGCAGAGAGGAGCTGGCCCTAAAGGTCAACCTGCCGGAGGTCCGCGTGCAGGTGCGACACGGCCTCCAAAATAATACCACGAGCTTTTTCCTGTCATAGACAAGTCGCTTCATTAATAATAATAATAATAATAATAATAATAATAATAATAATAATAATAATAATAATAATAATAATTTACCTATGAATATTTTTCTGATGTTAAATACACGAACATAGAAAAAGTCACATCAAAAGCTGCAGGCTGCTTAAAGTTTATTTTTCCACCTTAAACCAGTCTTGCACAAATTTTCTTTATAAGACACATTTTAAAATCTATTTAAAAATCCAAAAGCAGGGAGATACAATTTTTGCAAGGGAGTAAAAGTAAAATATATCTCATTAATAGAATAAATACCCCCAATAAAAGTCCCTGCCCCAAGTATTATGTGCCTAATGGGGTTTAAGCTGAGATTAAAAATGATGGATGTTCTGAACTCATTCTAGTTTTGAGTCTGTAAAGTCCAGAGCTTCCCTTCATATATAAAACACGAAAATGATTCGCCTGAAGTGGCATGTTGCCCCGATTTTGTGTGTTGTAAATTCTAAAACTAGAGAAATAAATACAAGTAAATATGCAAAGAAATAACTTTCTAACTGTTCACAATGGACTGTGCAAAGTTTCTTTTAGGAACTTCTATTGTAGGACGACAGAAGTATTGCTTCTAATAATAATAATAAAGCAATACAATTAGAGTTTTTAAATCTGTTAACTAAGCAATTATAATATGTCTGTATATTTTATTTTCTGACATACAAGGGCTGTGAAATAAATGTTAAAGATACATTTTACTTTGTTGTTACAAAGTTGTTTTTGTTGTTTTTTTTACCATCCTCACCTCTTTCTAGGTGTGGTTTCAAAACCGACGAGCCAAGTGGCGTCGTCAGGAGAAGCTGGAGGTGAGCGCCATCAAGCTGCAGGACACCCCTTCACCGTCTCTTCTGTCTTTTGGCCGACCCACCACCGGCTCCCTGGGCTCCGGGCTGCCGCTGGAGCCCTGGCTCTCCACCCCTATCACATCTTCGGCCCCTCTGCAGTCGCTGCCGGGCTTCATCAGCGGCTCACAGACCCTGCCAGGGGCCTACTCTCCCTCTCCTCCCCCATCCATGCCTCCTTCTTTGCCAGCATCTATTTCAGCTCCCCAGGCCTGGGACACGGTCCTCACCTTTCCCACATCAGTTCTATGTGCTCCCTGCCACCCACATACCAGTGCTCAGCCAACCCAAGGAACTCCAGTATAGCCTCACTGAGGATGAAAGCCAAGGAGCACATTCAGTCTATTGGGAAGACGTGGTGATGCCAAACGAAAGGTTAGGATGGACATGCACATCCAGAAGACAGTGATTTGAAAAGAGTTTATCTTTCTGCAGATCGGATTGTAAAATTCTGGACGTCCCAATCCCAAGAAAAAAAACAAAACAAAAAAAAAAACTGTCAAAATCCTGACAGGCAGGACATCAGTTCCTCAGTTCCTGAAACATTGTAAAGAAAAAATTTAAAAGTTCAGTAACTTTAAACTATAAATACAGTTATTTGGACGTACGCTCTATATAATTTTTTTATGTTGGAAAATTGATTCAATTGTGATTTTCTGTTTTATTTTAATCTTTTCTCATTATGGCAAAGAGTTTTGTTATCAGTAAAACAAACTTGTAATGGAAACCCATTTGTATCCTTTCATTATTTTGATGGCAACACAACCACACTTTATGTTGCTGATCATTCACAGTCTTTTTGATTGTTTGAACAAATGGAATTTATTTTTTTTGTCCAACTCAATAATTAAATTATAATAATAAAAAAAAACAGTTTCCAAATGCAAGAATTTTTTTACCAATTTTAGAGCTTTTAGAGAATTAATTCTTATGTGATTCTAAAAATAATAATAAAAAAGTTTTATATTAGGACCTTCTCAAGAGAAAAGCGCAAAAAGAAGAAAATAGGTAATGACTAAGTTATGGAAAGGGACAGTTACAAAGAATGACAAACAGCACCGATCAGAAAATTGGACATGTTAATTCTAGTGCCCTCTAGCGGTGGATATATTTTCTTGTTATTTGATTTTTTAAGAAAAAGACAGTTATTGAAGGGAGTGAGTTTAAGTTCCCCAGTGTTTATGTTTATAATTTTATTATTAAATTACCTACTAATTTAATATATGGAAATCTATACAATCTATTTTAATTATACATTTTAAATACACGCTGGTGTCTGAATCAAAGTGGCTTAAACCTCTGAACTTCCCCCGTATGACTCAGAAAATCAGTCCGCAGGTCATCTTCTTTCCTCCCCATAACTCCAACAAACTGTATCCGTCTCTCTCCTGGGATTAGACTCCTAATAGGGGTGAAAGTGGCTCACTCCTCAGTTGTTCACCAATCATCCGTGACAAATGACTAAAGAGAAGGAGGAAGAGGAAAAAAACGTGTTTGTGGCTCTAAGAGGACAATTTGTTTTGTCAAACTGTCGCAATTAGCGCTTCCTGTTGTCTGCTTGCATCCCCTGCGAGCGAAAAATAATACTGATGGACATCTATTCATCTCCTCCGAGAGAAAAACAATTGGTGTTTATTTATTTGTTTGTTTGTTGATTTTTGTGCCCCCCCTCTCTAATTTGAAGACTCGTCACCCAACAACACAACCATCTTATTGCTTCTTTACACTTTTAATTAGTGATATTGGCGTTTTGTGCAACTGGAAAGTTACTGAAACACGAGATGTTCATAAAAATGAACTTGCGCACCACCTAGTGGTAAAAATGGGTTACTGCGCAAGTGGTGGGACCATGGTGTGCAGGTTTCACAGACTTATGAATATTGAAGATTTTCTTTGTTCATCTATCGTTTATAGTTGAAATACGATGGAATAGTGTGATGCTGAAATAAATTCTTCCCAACAGCATTTTGGATGTAATAAATCTTCTGTGGGAAAAGCAGAGCAAATCAAAACAAACAAAAGACTAAAGTTAATTCTTCCCCCAAAGTATGCATTTCTTAAATTTTTGAGTAAAAGTTATTGTCATCGTAGCATGTAACTCAGTTCAGATTCCTGGTTTCTATAACACAACCTTGTCAGTCAGTCAGCAGTTGAAACCTTTTATTTTGTGCAAGTAAAAATGCTAATTCACCAAAAACACCATCGTTTTTGTGTGCCTACAGCACAGAGCTTATACATTGTAAATATGTGATTACAGAGCAGGTTGAGTAGACCTCAGCAGCTGGGTTTGCCACTGGGCTTGTCTTGCCTTCAGGAGGATTCGCTGTCTCGCTGCTTCAAAGTCAGAATCAGGAGGTCTAACACCTACAAAACAATAATTAAGCAAGAAACGCATAAGCATATTGAAGGTCAGAGATTGCAAGCGTTTTTGACCTCTACAAGCTGACCTCTCGGAGATGCTTTCCTCTGTTGTCTCTCCTGTTGCTGTGGAGCAGCTTCCGCAGCACTGTTTGCTCTTGGCTCTCTGCTGACATTTCCTTCACAGTTTGGTCCTGATCAAAGATCTCGTCCGACTGCGAAAGCGTGAGGTAGTCGAGATGTTCCTGCTGCCGTGCAGGCAGACTGGTAATGCTCTTCTTTCCCATTAAATGACCTGTTGAAAATCACCATCATCATTTATTATTATTATTATTATTATATTATTATTATTATTATTATTATTATTATTATTATTATTATTATTATTTGAATTTAGTTACTCTTCATCCAATTGCAATGACTTGAAAATTGCAAAAGATAATTTGAAGCAACATCAGCTTTTTAATTTCCCATAACACCGACAGACACAACATGTGTTTTTCTTCATGCGAGCGTTTCACTTTAATGTAGAAGTTCAATGACAGAAAAAACAAAGCATTTTGAAAGTTTTAGTAAATTAAATATGATCAAAGATGAAACTTTTTATTTATTAGTTATTATTGTTATTATTATTTATTATTATTATTATTATTATTATTATTATATTATTATTATTATTTATTATATATTATTATTATTATTTATTAAATAAATATTTCTGATTAAAAACGAAGGTTTTCTTACCTACAGCCCAGTGATTGCCCCTTGGATACATTTTCCCAACAACTGACGCAGCAGGTCTCTCAGCGCAGCGCAGCAGACAAGGCGCTGCCGCCAGGATGATGAAAACCGGCCAGAGCGCTCTGCAGGACCACGAGTAACAAAGGCGCCCCGCACACATGATAGGAGGAAAGGGTCAGCTCTACGCGATGTATACTAATCCTTACGTTGCATTGACTTAACTCGGTCTAACTTTAAACGATCGACACCATAATCGCTTTTCTCTTTTATTATTATTATTTTTTGTTCTCTTTTTTCTGCTAGTTGCACCGGTGAACAAAAAACCAAGACGTCCCGCTGCACCGACTTGCAGAAGTTCCTCTTTCGGTGCCTTTGATCGGAATAAGCGCTGACGAAAGAAAGTTAAATGCCCCTCCTGAAACAGCTGTGCGTCAGCGGGTGGTTAGCAGAAGTGGTGCAGTTGGGGGATAATTTATAGTTGCCAATTACAGATCGCAGATGTTTATCTGCACCTTTTTAATTCATGTATCAGGTGTGAACGTCATCGGAACACGAGGACCGAACCTCTGGATTCTGGTGCCTATTAATAGTCTATAATGCGCTCGGTAACTATAGTTTTTTCTCCTCCCCTCCTTAGAGGGGATGTTTTGTTCAGGAGTTATATATTAATATTAGCCTATTTATAGAAAGTTATAATGGAAAAAACCCAAACTATTTGTCATGGTTTTTACTTCTGGAAACTCGACCACAAAGTAGCATGAAAGAAAATCAAGCTGAGTTAGTAACTGTGATGGAGTCTTTATGACATATTGATGGAAAAATTTTTTCTCTTAACAAAAAATTTAACCAAAATGAATGCTGAAAACATTGTTATTGCTGCACAATGGTCAAATTCAGGATTTGACTCGAGGTTGATCTAAATTGTCCCTAAGTGTACACATCTGTATCCAGGTGTGTACCTTCTCACCCACTGACCGCTGGTGCAAGATGAGCAGTTATAGTTAAGGAATGGATTTGTATTATTGGTGATGTGAACAACCATCTCTTCCAGTTATGAAAAGCTAAATTTCAATATGTTCGGAGCAATTGAGATTTTGAGAGCTGCAGCTCTGTTCCTTGAGAGTCAGTTCTGGTTTTAGCTCAGATATGTGGTACCAATCCACTGTCAGCCTGCAAACACCTGAAGGTCTGAACGCTTCATCTCGTCATCCTCAGAGAGAACATTAAGAAGGAAAAGTTAGAGTGAAGGTGCATTAACAGGAAATAGCAGGGCTGTGGCTGTTTTGTGCTCTGAGCTGTAACCGGCTCTATTAAGTCTTATGATTCAATAAAAAAACAAAGGACAGTTTATCATTCTCATCATTGCTTCCACTCTGTCTAGGTTTGAACCATAGCAGTGTTATAGCAGCAATCAATTTTCCTTCCATGTCAAGCTGAGGAGCAATCTTCCACTCATGCTGTCCAGCGTTGGCGAACTTAGGCAGGTGTCCAACTATTTCTGTTTCTGAGTAATATATTTTTTTTTGCAAAATGTATACACTGCTTCCCAAAAGTGTGCAGTGCATTGTAAAGTGGTGCATTTTAGGGAGACAAGGTCTCTTAATATTAACCTTGTGTAAAACCTCAACGACATATTTTATTAATTTAGGCCTTTTTTTTTTTTCTTTTTTTTTCGGCTGAAAGTAAACCTCTTAATTTCCAGTCTTTAAATGAAGGCAGTAAGTAATTATTCGAATACATCTAATTCGTCTACAGAATTTTAGGAAGCCAGAAACGTTTTTGTTTGGTAGCTTTGACTGATCCCCCTTAAGGATGTTTGAGGTGTTGTAAAATAACTTCCCACAGAGTAAAGCCAAGATTCTTTTTTTTTTTAAACCATTTCATAACAATTCAAATGTCAAACATCCCATTGACGTCTGAAAACAAGTCACTTGTGTGTATGGACAGGAGACATGTGAAGTAAATTTCTGTGTGTACAACATCTCAATGTGGATCAAGAAGATCTAAAAACCTTTAAGCAACCCTTCATTGCTTCACATTTAGTTTCCTTTGACATTGTGACCAACTGGCAGGACTCACTTCCTGCTTCATATTTTTTCCCTCGCTCGCTTCTAGTATTAAACTTGGTGAGTGAATTGGAGCAGGTTTCCAAACCTCACCATTTTTCCAAGCGCATAAGGAGGAACAATGGTGATCCATGCTGTTCATAACACCAACTCTGTTACAGGAATACAAGAATGCAGCGCATTCCAAAAGATGAGTCACGTCTTTTATGATTATTCGCCTCTCTTGAAAGCTCAGCGATGCGATTTTAGCTGCTTTCAAACTTAGCGAGGCACCCACACATGAAGCCTATATCAAATTCTCATACTTGACTGATCCCATTTATGACAGTACAGACTTACAGATGGGCATAAAAAAGAGACGCATGAGGACAGACCAGGAGTCTGCAGAGGTAAATACATTTTTTTTGTTGTTGTTTGGAAGGTTGAGGGTTCCCTCTGGCTATTGTTGGGTCACAACCTTATACACATCCTTGCAGGGGTCTAAAAGAGTACATGGTTCGATTTGCATGCTTGTCCAGAGTTGACCTTAACAAAACAGGATGAGTCACCTCCATTCAAAGGGCAGCAACAGGTAGGATGCACGGCACAGTGCCATCTGAAATATTTGTTCAGTTGTTTTACCAAGACCAAACGAGAAAACAGAAAAAAAGACACCGGGTAAACTATCTGCAATTGATCCCTACAGGAGGAAAAGGAAATCAAATCACCTTGAAAGGCGAAGTTCTTTTGAAATCACTGCTTCAGATTTCCATTTTCATATTTTTGCCACTTCTTTCACCATTTTTTTGTGAATTTAACCGAAAGAAATGAGTCAAGAATAGGAATTCATGCAGTTTTGCGGTCGGAGCTCTAGAGACTGAGAAGGTTGTTAATCAACTCATAAGATCACGAACAGCTCCTGCCTGATTGTCTGTCCTTGATCACCTACACTAAGAACCACTTTTTTAATTCCAGATGCCTCGGTCGAGCAAATCAAATCACCTTGAGAGGCTACGTCATTTTACTTTCACAAAGCAGCAATTATACATTTACTCTGATCAACATGAACTTTAAAAAAAATAATATATATTGCTCAGCAGGGGTCTGAAAAATTTCTGTTCTGGACACAATTTCATTATAATTATGATACTCATAAGTTTAAACTCATTGTTTCGGTTTCACTGTGTGCTTTAGCATGAAAACAGCAGATGGCGCTGTGGGGTGCATTTATGATGAGCCATGATCCACATATAAAAAGAAGTGGACAATTAAATATATTGCACATTGTGTTAATCAAATTTTTATTTTTAAAATCTTACATTAAAAAGACTACCTTATTTACTTGTTCAAGATTGTCTTTACAAGCTTTGTATGTTGCTATTATCTGCACTGAAATTAGTATTACAAGACCACATTATTGGGTTTTAACACATTTTTAATGCTACTTTGAGGCATTTTATGCAAAAAAAATAATAATAAAAAAATCAAGTTTGGATAAAATTGCTTTCAATCATTTGGTAATTATGCTAATGTCTTTTCTATTTGCTAGTCATTGCATTATTTTAAAGTCACATGACGTTCATAATGACAGCTTTTATTGAAAGCTAAAAGAATCATTTAAGGGCTTCCTCTCAGCAAGCAAAGCATCAGTTTAAATGGATAGTTTTGCCATTATGAGGTCTTTGGTCTCCATCACTTTTCTGTCACTCTCCAGTCAGAGGATTTAGAGGCAATAATGGGCTGTGTGGAACGCTATTGCGCTCATGTTGTGTTGAGATGCACAGATTTTCCAGAGATGAGACTGAGACAGCAACAGTGCGAAGAACAAAAACCTTTGCACTAACTATTTGTTATTTCTTCCCTTGCAGGCCGCTGGCTTTGGTCCTCCCTTTTACCTACCCAAAGAAGAAACTGTTCTTATGACACTATGTGTCACCATGCAGCTGGCTAGGAGAGAGGAGTAGAAAAACAACCTATACAACTCAGACTATTTTATACATGTCTAGATGTAATCTTAAATATAGATAGTTAATTTTGTTCCACAGTTGTTTTTTAAGTTGCTGATTTATTGAATGTCTGTAAGAAAAAAGGTATGGTAAGAAGTCCACAAACTTCAACCAACTGAATAAATAACAATATTTTGGGGATTTTAGAGGTTTGTTTGAACTGTGTCATCCTCATAGTTTAAGGTTTATAATATTTAATGCATCAGATTTTTTTCTCAAACATGAACGCGCACCAATTTTCTAATTGTTTTTAATTCTATTCAACTGAAGGAAAGACTTCCAAGTTATTGATTCACCAGTCAGATGAGCCCATGTAATAAAGTGAGTGAGGAATAGTCGGGGTTGGTTTCTGAACTTATTATTACAATCTGTGGAAAGCACTTGACTTACGTTGTGTCACAAATTAGATGATGTGAAACAGCTGCTTGCAGGTGAGTCACGGGTCAGTGAGAGCCCAAATGGGTTTCTTCCTTTGAACTATATGATTAAACATTAAAGAAAGGCTGTCAATGCTAAAATGGAACAGGAAACACAACAGGTAAGGTTCTGAGCTTTAGCAGAAGTGTGACATCATCTTGGGCAAAAATGGCTGAAAACAGAAGCCGAGATGGGGTAGCTTCCAGCAGTCCTTCTTATATCCTGTTTGAGTGGAGGCAGTGTGATGTCATGTGACTTCGTAAGGGGTGGGGAGCAACCTCAGCCTCCTTCGTTGCACTGAATCTGTCACAGTGCAGGGAGGTAGTAGGCACTGCGAGGGCCTTTTACAATATACACACACACGCTCATCTTCTGCTGCCATTTCCAGTGTTTGAAATGCATTAATGTGCTGAGATGAATACATCCTCTTAAGATTTTTCACACAAAGATGGAATTAGTTTATTCTGCAGCATGGTTGGCTGTCTTTGGCAGATCTGCAAGATGAATCAAGGACTCATAGGAGGCCAAAGAGAGCCAGTATTACCCAACTGGCAACCCCCGTTTTCCAGGTAGGTTACAAAATATCTCCTCATGTGAACCTATTTCTGAATCCCGTACTGTTATTTGGAGACATTTCTTAATTATTGTTTTCATTTGGGTTGGAACAACAAAAATATAGATGTATATTTTGTTGCATTTTGACAGGTTCATGCTATTTGTTCAATGCATAGTACAATACATAATGTAGCCTCAACACTTATGCATGATGTTAGTTTACTTGCTCTTTAATTTTATGTATTGCAGAGAAAATATTGCAATTAATCCATTTAAAAACCTAATCTTTCTGTAGGATTGTTTCAGGAGAAAGGCCTTAAACAGTGCGCACAGATTGAAGTCTGTTATTAAAACTCAATTCTGCCTTATTTCCGTTCTTCTTCTCTGTCCTGCACCTTCCCCCCATGTCTCTGTCTCCCTCTCTTTCTCGTGTGTCTCTCTGCACCAGCTGCTGCTCCTGCTCCCGAGCAGAGTGGAGAGTCCCCTCACCCTGCCGCACATGCAGAGACAAAAGGCCTCATTTGACTGCTGAACACTGCCCCCTTTCGCCATCCACTGCTTCACGCCTCAGCTGCGGAGGTGGCATTGGTGCTGCTTTTGATGGCGTTTGTGTGACAAAACGAGGCCTCCACTGAGACTGAAAACTACTCTAGTGAAGAACAGAAGTAAGAAGGGGCAGTGGAGGTGGGGAAGGAGGAAGGAAAAGAGGCTGGAACAGTGGGCTGTTAAAAGCAAGTGCTGAGGCCTCTACAGGAAGATTTTTTTTCTCCCTGGTACTTCTCAGAGTGGAAAATAAATCTGACAAGGGTATGCTTCGTTTACCTATATATGCATGGAGTGCATGTTCACCTTCATCTGTGTCTTTGTGGGGTTGCAAGTTGGTTGGGGGGCAGAAGGAGGGAATCTGGTGAAGGAGACGCATGAAAGTATGTCTTTTTGATTGTTGCCTGTGTCTTATGCTGCTTGCCTTTACACCACATTGATCAATCTATTGCTGCTGACAGATATTTAGCGCATTTGGGTGCATTTTGTAGCTGATATTAAAGCACAGAGAGCTTACTGTAGGAAACAGACCAGATTGAGCTTTAGCTGCCATCATGACAAGTCAAACAAAAGAGTTGTTTCATGATATTAAAATAAATTCTCACATTGAATCCTGTTAAATCGAATCATCTGCATTAATTCTGGCCAGGACTGATCTTTTAGCCTTTTGACATTTCATACATTTGTAGTTTTGGTTGTTTGGTTCCTGAAAATGTTGGGTGTGAAACTTAGCTGGATGCTTCGAACTAACAATCCATCGACTACCCAACACTGTGATATTGTGTGCCCACACTGAGAGCTGATTTAAATTAATGTTCCACAAGCTACCTGTAGCCCACTTTAGTTACTGTACATGAATGACTCAGTCACCAGCAGTAGGTTAGTCATAGACCCACTTCAGCCTTTTATTAAAATTAGGAATGTCCTGGTTACATGATGCGTGTTCAGTCCTAAAGGGGAGGGGAGCAAAGCACAGCTGCACACTCAATGCACAGAACTTAATTATACACCTTCAAAACATATTTTATAAGATAAGAATATCTGTTTGCAGTTCCTCTGGATAATGAGTTCTGGAACTTCCCGTTCAATGTACCCTCCTTTTTATTACTCTGCAGGCCGCTTCTCACAGCTTTCTATTCTCTGCTAACACTTTCGAAACACTTAAAGCACAAAATGTAAATACAAAGGTAAATAAATGGATGATATAAGATAAAGATAAAACAAATAATGATAATGAAAAATAAAAGTTCTTCCAACAGGAATGTCTTGTACCCACAATGATGGCCAGTTTAACTGATTTTCTTAAATCGATCCAGGTAAGAACATGTAGGTTTAAATTCCTCGTCAGAAGGTCACTCACACTTATTTTGGTTTGATTAGAGATCATAATTTCTTAACTCATGCAATTGTCCCAAAGTCATATTCACATTGCAATTTCATGGCCATGTATTTGAACAGCTGAATTTCTCAATTTTTCACCCAGCGCTTTAAAACATGTATGTATGAAAGTAAGAAGGGACAAATTGGAAAATACAAGGTTAAAAAATTGGGGGTGCAAATTGACTGCTCTTTTTTTTCCCCCTCTGACTTCTTCTTTGTATTTTTATGGCTCTGAAAATGAGTCATCTCCCTTGTTATGTTTCCAGCTTAAAACGATCTTTATGACAAACGTGTCTATAAGAAAGAAAACGTCGCAGTGCTTCCTGGGAGGTGGGCAGAGCCTCTTCCTGTGCATTTTTGAGGCCGTGCTGCAGCAACCCAGGGCTTTAGTCGAGTGACCAGAACCAGCTGGAACCGGTTTGAGGCAGACAGAGGGCTGATGGGAACAATGCCGTCTCTATGCTGCACGGGGATAGAGATAGCCCAGACTCGTTCATGGCAGCCCCTCACAGCTCAGCCGCTGGTGGCTAACAGGGCTCCCCTGCCTGCTCTTTGCCTGCTGAGTGTTGGAGTGCAGAGCTGCACGGTTCACGAGGGGAGAAAGGAGATTTGGGAAGGGACAAGGGCAGGGGACGGGGCTGGCTATGAGTCTGTGAATCTGCTGCTGGGAGCCCTGCCTCACACATTCACATACACACACCCAACACAGGAGCATGATCTATGTGTCTGTTTATATGTCTTAGTGTTGCTTGTGGTGCAGAGAATGACCGAAGACGATCCATATCAGGACCACCAGCACTCACCAGATGCCTGGATGTAACCTGACCTTGTATTCTGGGCCTTTGCCTGTTGGGAAGATATTTTTTTTTCCCCCAGACAGGGTGGGGTGGATGCCTCCTGTGGGTTAGCTGTGTTGTGACTCTGTTTGTTGCAGGATGGAAGGCAGCAAGGAAAGAAGGTTTGGCTAAGTGGCTGGACTGAGCGAAGACAAGAGGGTGAGGACTTGCTGATTAACTTGCATGTCTCCACCATTATTTTACATACTTTACTGAAACAGCAGCTGTGTCATAAAATGTTAATTCTTTCTGGAGAAAAAAAAGTGCATGTGCATTAAACTGCAGGCATAGAAAGCAATCCTGTGTTGTGTTTTTGTCATTTTTCTTCATCAAAGCTTCCTACGTCAGGCTGCTGTGGCTGTCATGGCTGAAACTCGCTGTTTTTCAACCAGGCCTTTCTCCTTCTCCCTGCTGCAGCTTCACACAGCTCAGCAGCCATTTTTTTTCTTCTCACAGGATTTACTGCCTTCCCTCTCCCCTCATTACCATTTTCATTCTCTTCACTGTTTCTATCATATTACCTCCATGATTCCTTCTCTACGAAATGAAGTTATGAAATATGGATTCATGCAAAATAAGATTGTTTATTTGTCACGGGTCCATGAGTGCAGATATGTTTGGTTCAAGTATGCTCTGGTTTTGTATTACATAGAAGATCAGCTCCATGTATGTGACTCAAGCACCATGGTTATTTACCTCATGTGCACAGATCAAAATCAAGAAATGATTAAGATTTAATCACTTTTTTTTCCTTTTTGCTTGCAGAATTTAAACATGAACCACACAATCATAATATAAGCAAACATAATTTTCCACGACACGACAGTGCCAAGGGTTGGGACTGTGTAACTGAAGACAAATTAACATGGATTATGTCAATAAATAAATAAATAAATATGACATTCAGAACACAAGAAATTCAGCATCTATAATTCCATAATATGCTTTCCATACAGTTTTGTTTACTTATTTACAAAGAGAATTCACGTCCATGAATGTCAGACTAATTTGGATCTTTCAATGATCTATCGCACATAAAGTGGAATGACGATAAATCACAATGAATTTATAAAACAAGAACTTGATGCAAAAGATAGTACTTTGTCTGATTAACATGGTCAAAATTATACATCCTGCATTAACTATACTGTGCCTATGCACCTTCCAATTTTAGTTTACATGTTTCTTGACCTTATGTCAGGAAGTATTTTTAACCTTACACAAGTGTTTGGCATTATTCTGGCTTAATATTTGTTCAGTGTTCTTATTAAGAACGGTGGTAGTATCTTAGACTGGTTGGTTTCTGAGCACTGGCCCAAATGTAAGGGTTATCTATTGAGCAGGGATTGGTGCCACCCAGAAGCTTTATGCTATCTTGCTTTGTGCATTGCATAAGCATAACTGTGCTGCTGGAACAAGTTATCTCCATGTTTCAACCTCCGAGCTGTTAGCTGTTGGTTTGTGGTAAAGTTGGGGTGTTTGGTGATAGTAATCACCCTTTGTCACTTTACCCACTTAATTGAATGCACCAATATCACTCAGAAAGAAATAGCTCCACAGCATGATGCTGCCTTCATCATGCTTGGCAACAACTGCAGTGTTTCAATATTGAAAGCCTAACCTTGACTCCCCCATACTTGTTTGTTGTCAGTGTGGTAAAACAGCTCAAATGCTTTCTTGTCATGCTGATCACATGGCAACTGGTTTCTCCATGTGATCATGCAGTTAAGTATGCAAATTGCCTCAGATTGCCAGTTTTTAGCAGTGAAATTGGTTTCGCTGTGCACAGTAAGACAGCGAATCTCCATGATTCCTTCAAGCTTACAGTAGCCCTGTAAGCTACTGTGTTTCTTGCTAGATCACCAGCATTAGAGCAGCATTTAGTAGTGCTGCGAGATTTCCCAGTATGTTTGTTCTCCAATTGGCAAAAAAATGCTTTGAGTTAATACCAGGAATATGTTGTATTAGATGTAAAAAAAGAAAAAAGACATATATACACAATTATTTTTGATCATATTTAAATTAACATACAAACTATAACAAATACTGAGGGAACAGTTTTAGTTCAAAAACATATTCCAAAAAGTAATGATCAAAGCATCTGTCTTGGAGTGGGCAAGTCAAGCTTAATTAAACTGTTCTCAATTTATTTGTGTATTTCAGGTGATCTAATATCAGATCCAGGGAAGGAACATGGGAGATATGAAGACGCCTGACTTTGATGACCTATTGGCAGCCTTTAACATCCCTGACATGGTGGATCCTAAAGCTGCCATTGAATCTGGTCACCAAGATGAGCAAGATGGACAACTCAAGCAACAGAGTAATCGGGGGACTGACTGTGCAGATGAGTCTCACAACTCCTGCAGCGAACATGATGCTGGTGTTAGTGTAATTGTAAAAAACATTCGCAGCACAGACACAAGTGAATATGTTGGAACCAAATTTGATAAAGACAAGTGTTATAACTCTCATTCCCAAGCAAGTGCTTTTGGCAGTGGACTATCTAATGGCTCCTTATCAACAGCACCACCAGCTGCTCAACACACTAAGGAAGAATTGAAAGTTCCCAGAGATGATGGATATAAATTCAATCCTCAATCTCCTACTTTCACTCAGTTCAGTCCAATATCTAGTGCTGAAGAGTTTGATGATGAGGACAAAATTGAAGTAGTTGACACAAGTGGTGTACAGAAAAGCCAATTCTTCTTCACTTCCATTGCTAAAGCAGAGGACCAGATTTTAAAGTTTAACAACAAATCAGGTCAAAACAAGAATCAGACTAAAAGATGTTCTTACATTTCATCTCAATTACCAATACCAGAAAAAACCCTGAAAGACAATTTTTTCAAACCTCAAAATCAAGCCTCCATGGATGGTAGAAAGTCACCTGACCTAGTTGATGTACTAAGTATCCCACAAGTCAAAGACCAGTCCCCCACAAAACTGTATTCTTGTATAGCAGCTATTGCATCACTAAGTGGGAAAACAACTGACTTTGATGTGTTGGACTCTATACCAGCACAGAAAGAGCCTAAACCATCTAAGGAAAATCTCAGAGGAATAGACAGACTACAGGAGCAAGAGTCAGACATTGATTTGACAATGAACCTTCTTACCAGGGAACCAGAAAGCCCCTCTGGTGTTATCAGTGAGGGCAGCAACAAAGGTTCCCCTGCTTCTAACATAGACACCACTCCAGTCATTCCAAAGGTTAGAATTAAAACAATTAAGACCTCTTCTGGACAGATCAAGCGTACTGTCAGCAGAGTCCTTCCGGAATTTGATACTGAAAGCTTGAAGAATGAAGACAATAGTCCATGTCTTATGACAACTACCAGCACAATTTTTACATCACCATCAAAGCCCTCTTTGCCATCAACCGTGGTAGCAACCACTGTGTGCCCATCAATTGAAATCACAAAACAAATGACTATTAAGCCTGTGGCAACAGCTTTCTTGCCAGTATCCGCAGTCAAAACAGCCAGTTCACAAGTTATTAACCTCAAGCTGGCTAACAACACTACTGTCAAAGCAACAGTTATCCCTGCCGCATCTGTGCAAAGTGCCAGCAGTGCTATCCTGAAAGCCGCAAATGCTATCCAGCAACAAACGGTCTTGGTGCCTGCCTCCAGTTTGGCCAATGCTAAACTTGCCAAAGACAGTGCATCTTAGTAACCTCAGTCTTCTTCCTCAGACAGTGTCTGTTGCTTGTGATCTTCAGCAGGTCTTATGCTCCTCAAAACCTTCCCAGAAGCAACGATCACAACAAAGTAAACAGACTGGCGTCACTGGCCAAGCTTCCAAAAAGTCTCTCGGTTCAGATGTTCACAAGCTCTCAAGGCTCTGTAGTAGATGCTTTCAATAAAGTCCTAAGTAGCCTGAACCCTCTTCCTGTGTATGTCCCAAACCTCTCTCCACCAACCTCAGCCTGTATTTTACTACCCTCCCGGGGCTACAAGTGCCTGGAGTGTGGAGATTCGTTTGCTCTCGAAAAGAGCCTGAAACACCACTATGAACGCCGAAGTGTGAGAATCGAGGTCACCTGCAACCATTGTGCCAAAAGTTTGGTTTTCTACAACAATGTAGCCTGTTATCTCATGCGAGAGGTCACAAGGACCAAGGGTGGTCATGCAGTGTTCACATCTAATCCTCAAACCCATTCCTGTAGATCAGATGATTAATTCATCAAATTTGCCAGTGGCCCCTTGCATCACTATCAACACCCCCACATCTCAAGCACAGGCACCTGCAAGTCAAACACAAGCTAAGATTGCTGGTGGTAACCAGACTACAGTGATATCAGCGCCATGCAGCGCTCCCCTTGTGGCAGCCATGCCTTTGGAGGATGATGCATCAAAGCTTGGTCGGCACAACTTGAAATGTTTTTGGAGTGCACTGAAATATTCCAGGATGACAGTTCACTGGCCATGCACTATCAACAAGCACCAGAACCCAACAGTCAGGTAGGTACCATGTTATTAAAACAGGCTAAGGCTTCACAAGGGCTACATAGGTATATAGTTGTTTGTGTGGTTGCTTTGTCTGAAGAAAGTCCTTTGTCTAAATCCCAGGGAGAACAGGTAGGCTCTACATGGAGTTTACCTGCTCTCCCTGTGCATGTCTAGGTTCTCGCAGGGTACTCCAACTTCGTTCCACAGTTTAAGAATCTGGTGTTAGTTCAATTGATATTTCAAAATGGGTTTCAGAGTGAGTGTGTGCATAGTCATTTTTCTGGATGGATGGATGGATGGATGGATGGATGGATGGATGGATGGATGGATGGATGGATGGATGGATGGATGATGGATGGATGGATGGATGGATGATGGGATGGATGGATGGATGGATGGATGGATGGATGGATGGATGGGATGGATGGATGGATGGATGGATGGATGGACGGGTTAATGGAAGTCTTTTTTGTCTGTCCTTGCCTGTAGTGTTAATATTGCTCACTCTTTCTCTCTGTAATATTCCTGCATTTTTGTATAATTGTTCCAGCCTGTTCATAAAAATTGACCAACATTTATTTCCTTCTTTCATAGAAAACATGCACAGTTTGCCAGATGCTTCTTCCAAATCAATGCAGCTTTCTGTCCCACCAACGAATCCATCAGCACAAGTCCCCTTATATTTGTCCAGAGTGTGGTGCCAGTTGTCGGTCTGTTCACTTTCAGACCCACGTCACCAAGAACTGCCTGCACTACACTCGCAGTCGGCTATCGGTCAGTATATCTCAATTCAAACCAAAATGATCCATAATTCTAGTTTTTCTTTTGCTGAGATATTATTTCTAGAGGTTGCGTACATTTCATTGTTGAAAAGAGCCAATATTTCACTCTAAGTGGTCTTTTTCTTACTTCAATGTCCAAAGACCATTTTAATTGTCATTTTAATTGCAGTTATTTAGCATGGTTTCTTGGCAATTTGGCTTCAGCTTGACACCTAATATTGCTTCATGACACATCATTCAGGACAAAATGAGAGGGACAAAAGGTGACAGTCACAATCCTTGTGGTTGAGTCATCCAAGATACAAGCTATTAAAAAATACTTTTTTTTTGTTTTCAAGCAATAATAGACCAGTTAAAAACCTGTTTTCAATCAATTCTTGACATTTTTTGTCGCTAAAGACCAAATGCAGAGAAACATTCTCTCCCTCATTAACATACCACCTCAATCAAAGAAGGGCTGGAGCATATCAAAGAAGTAGAGTACTTCATTAAGAGGCTGGCAGTCCATCATAGGACCAAAACAGATACACAAATTACAACAATGTACAATCACACATGCATCTGAAGACAATGTAGTGTGAGCTTGACAGGTAACTAGTGTCGGCATTGCTATTTTTGTATTTAAGAACTGATGTAACATTCAAATTATTTAATTTAATGGGGGAACCAACAACTGTCATCAAGAATTTGCAATAACTATCGGACCTTTTTATAATTGTGGAATGCAAATTTATACAAATTTTCCTTACATATTTTTGCACATTTTTTTAATTCAGACACTGTAGGATTTTTCAACTGTATACTGCCATTTTTCAAAATCAGACTTAGGTTTGAACTTTGATGAGACCAATTTAGCCTTGTAGAGTAAATCAAGGGAGGATGTCTTGTATACTTCAGATTATTGTTTTGCTGCCTAACCTTTTGTTTGGAAGAGAAATGGAAAAATATGAAAAAAAACTTTAAACAAGTTCTATCTAAAAGTATGGCTTGACTTTATTTTATTCATTCTTTGTTCAACTTGCTTTTGTGTTTTTTCTGTGCTGTTTTCCAGCTGTGCTCACTGTAGCGTGATCTTTGTTGATGTTACAACTCTCAAGTCTCACATCCAGAACATGCACTCTGAGGTCTTCTACAAATGTCCACTCTGCCCCATGGCTTTCAAGTCTGCTCCAGGAACTCACTCGCATGCATACACACAGCATCCAGGGGCCAAGGCAGGCGAGCCCAAGTAGGTTCCTTTTTGTTTACAATGTGTTTAGAATAAAAATAAAAAAAATCTTTAATTTTGTCTGCTGTATTATCATTTGCCTCTTACTTTTTTTGTCTATAGGAAACTAAGCCTACACATTTGCAGATACCCAACCTCTTTTTTTCACTCAAATTAGCGCTAATGTGACATAAACCCCATGTCCAATTCCTTTCTGTCTAGATAACCATCCTTGGCTTCCTTCTCAGCAGAAGGATTTTGCTGCTTTTCATTATGGCAGCTTAAATTGTGTGTGTTTTTTTCCACGTGGAAACCTTTAACCACCTAACACCTGACCACAGCTGTTTACTTACTGATGGGAAATGCCAAAAACTTCAGATACATTAAGCTTTTATTGCAGTAGCATAATCTCACTGAGCTTCAGAAACCGCATTATCAGTGAAAGTTGTGCACACTAACAAGGAATTTGACTTTGGTCCCATTTAGCTGTCAGTGGAAAGAAATTTAAAAACTGATAACATAAAATTTGGTGGAAAATAAATTGTTCAAGAACATATGTAAACATACTGTTTTGTAAGATTTTGTAAGATAAGGTCAAAGTGCAAATTTGCATAGTACATATCTGGACACTGTTCATCAAAATGATGAGACATTTTAACAAGTTGGTTTTGCAATTAGCATCCTGCAGCGCCAACCTGAAGGTAAAAGTCTAAGTGTGGGGTTTGTAGAGATGCTAGCTTCCCTTTTCCTGATCTTAGACTGTTACAAGTCCTAAATGTCAGCCCTGATGATCTTCTCTTCGGCCCAGAATGTTTGTTGCAATTTATTCCTGTCTTGTTTTGCAGCTGAGCCAAACCACACAGTTATAGCTGTGCACAAGAGCAACTTCTCACATTATGCAACTGTTTCAAAAGATCAATTTATTTTTACTCACAATTACAGAGTATTTTGAAAGGTACTATTGGATTTAATTAGCAAACACAAATTTTCTTATTTCTTGAACAAATCCTTGGCTTTTGTAAATACAACTGTAGCTCAGATTGTAGAGGATGCTTCGAGTCTGTTACTTTTTGCTATGTTTGAAGTTTCCTAATAATTATGACATTTTCTGTCTTCCAGGGTGATATATAAATGCTCCATGTGTGACACAGTGTTCACTCTCCAGTCCTTGCTCAGCTCACATTGAGCAGCACATTTCCAATTTTAAAGTTTCCATCTTTAAATGTCCCGACTGTTCCGTGCACTATGCCCAGAAGCAGTTGATGCTGGACCACATTAAGGTACGTTTTTCTATTTTCTCTTAGTTTCCTGATAATTTAAAAAAAAAAAAATATCAGGATTTAGCCTTACAATTATTCTATTTATAACTTCAAACCAAGCTAAATTAAACCTCCTCTTCTAACACCTAATGCCAATCACTTCAGTCATATTAATTTAATGAAGGGGTTCATGGCACATTATTATTATCAACGTGTGAAAAGGTGATGTTGTGGATCTCCTCAGGCCATCCATGGAACCCTGAAGACCATAGAGGGTCCACCAAACCTGGGGATCAACCTTCCACTTAGCGCAAGCCCACCAACTCCAACAGCACCAACAGCAACATCCCCAAAAATAACAACAAAGACGGAGAAAATGTCTTTTGTCAAGATAAGGGAGAAAAGAAGCCATCGTCATCGCCGCTGAAGACAACCAATAGCAACTGCGCAGCAGACCTGAAGAGCCCTGTCAGCTCAGGATACACATGTGGAGAATGCAACGCCCCCCTCAGGTCCAGGGAGCTGTTCGTCACACACATGAGGCGAACATGGCAAGGTGAATGTTCTGCAGTTTTGTTATAAAAAAAAGACAGTTTCTTCTGCTTTGTGTGTGACACTTCCAATATAACTTTCAAACTGCAGATACTGAAGAAGCATCCATGTCAACAGTGTGACAAGTCTTTCAGCTCCTCCCACAGTCTTTGCCGACACAACCGTCTAAAACATAAAGGACTACGAAGGTCTACACCTGCCCGTGAGTCCCACCACCCCACTTAGAGTGATTAATTAATAGCTGTAATTCTGTTCTAACACAAATCCATAAATGCGTCCTCAGTAGTACTGAGCTAAATTTTCCACACACAACCTTTCAGTTCAGCTATGAAAGTAAAATTTGAGCACATTTAATATTTTTCTACTAATCCATTAAACAAAAACAGCTGAAATATGAAAAAGATCACAATGGTTTCTCCCATTATTCATCCGATTAACACAGTTTAATTTAAGAAATGAAAATTACTACATAATGTGCACCGTCCAGCAACTCTATTTGTCTTATTATTGATTTTAATTTTCAGACACTGCCCTGCTCTAAGTCAGCCCTTCACAAAAAGAGTGCTGCTGGACCAGCACATTCAGATGATTCATGGAGGTAAATCCGTGAACCCAGCAGGAAGGACTGAAAATGTTGAGACCCCACCGGACAACCAAACGGTACAGCTGCATGAATTCAACAACTAAATGTTTTGCCAAAACGTCTGTCTTTGCATTTATTTGCTATTTTGTTTTCAACAGCTCCGTAAAGGTTTTTTGTGCTTTGTTGCTTTTTTATATTAAGTGTTTTTGCCTTAGTATTTTTATGTTTGATATTTATAAATGAAAAAAAAACTTATTTGGTTCATATTTTAGTTTTATAAATATTTTGTTGAGTTTTTCTAATTTTTTCCATTATTTTTCTGATTTGGTGCAATCATAGATTGTTATGAATCATTCGTTTTCTGTCATCACAGACCTTTGAGCTGAAATGTTGGACCTAGTGTTGGCTAAACTGCTCTTCTGTTGCACTTCCTAAAGTACTGAACTCTTTGTTAGATTGATGCCAATGAGTTTTGCACTTCATAGCAAAGCTATTTCCTGAGCTCATCTTTTGCTTTCTTTTCAGAACCGAAGCCCCAAAAGAAATCCAGATGAAGATGAGGGGTCTCCAGGCTTGAACTCCAGGGGTTCCGACTCACAACCATTGAAGACTAAAAGTGAACGTCCCCAAAAATCACAAATGTGCCGTCTGTGGCTTCGCCACTGAGGATATTGCTGCTTTCCACACGCACATTCCCCAGCACAAGTCTGATGGCTCGTCCCACCAGTGTCAGGAGTGCGGACTCTGCTACACCTCCCCCCTCGCTGGCCCGACACCTCTTCATCGTCCATCGGCTTAAGGAGCTCAAGAGTCTCGGTAGATATAATGGGAGAGACCGGAAGATGAAGAGAGTCAACGGGAAAACCAACTGGATGTTGTAGATGAGAACAATGACGGGACGCCGAATACCAAATGTAAGGTGTGTGGGAATACGTTTGAGACTGAAGGACATTTGAAAACTCACATGAGGACACATGGGATGGCATTCATAAGGTCAAAGACCCTGAGCGCTGCTCAAAAGTGAGAGAAAGATGAATTATAACCATTCCATGAGTTTCTTAAACTTGTGGTACCTCCTATAGATGTGGTTATCCTGTAATACATGATGTTGTAGTGTACAACTTAATGTAAACAGTAGAATATACACGCAAGAAATTTAATACACATCAAAGTCTCCATTTGTGTCTTTCAGCAAAAATATCAGGAACGTTTTTGTACAGACAGAGAATTTTCAGTAGACTTTGAGTAAATTTTCTAAGATGACCTGATTATTTCCAAAGTATTCTTTTCACTACGGCAAGACAATGTATAAAACCACTATTATAAACTGCACTTGATCAGCAGTCGAGTTTTTTTGTGCCTCTGATATTCAACGAAAGTCTGGCAGAAAAAATATATAACTACAGGTACAGGTATTTTCTTTGTTGAGGACCTAAATTTCAGAATATACTCTGAAACTGCAATTACAACAAATTAACTACTTTTTTCTTATTGTCGTGATAAGAAAAATGCAGCCGTGCATCTATAATTTGCCTAAAAATGCTAGATGCCAAAACAATTTAATCCAGAGGCACTTTGAGCTTTCAGAAGATTTCTGGCCTATTAAAAACTAACTGCATCCAACCAATGTAAAAAAAAAAAGTCTGATGAATAGAAAATGAACAATGATTTCAAAACTTAAATGAATAAAGGTCAAATAAAAGTTACTGAGTGTCTCACATAATAATATGTTTTTGCCTAATAGTCCTCACCCAAATTCAAGAACAATTGTGAAATGTGTTCTTGTCATGGCAGCTCTCTGAGATAAATATATTTTTTCCAAAATACTTAAAACATAAGATATTAAGACTTTCAGTCTTTCCAGATTGTTAGTGTTAATTTGTCTTAGAGCACAGTGGAAATAAGACTGACATATCCATAGCAATGTTTATCTGGTTCTTAGATAGATTTTTTTTCCATTATAACTTTTCTATATTTTAGATTGTAGGTCGATGTTGGAATTATGATGAATGTGCTCTGCCTTGAATCTTGCTGAAAATGAATGTAACCTTGGCAGTGAAGCTGAAATATTCATAGAACATGACTAGTTAATAAAATATGATCTCAATAGTGTTTTAATTACTTTTTAAAAGGAACAGTGAGGCTCTTTTTTTTGTCAGCAGCCTCTTTCATGGAACAGGTCACAAAGTCGAGCCTGTCTTTAAACTGCCTCTGGTTGTAATGGCTTATCAAAACAATATCATAAGCTTACATAATTAAATCCAGGTTAATAGTTAAACGGGTCAACAATGATCATTGGACATAAAAGATGTTTCAGACATCTTCCATTCTCAAGAGTAAAAAAAAAACTTCCAGGCATCCTGGTTCCTGGTTCATCTTAAGTGTAAATGTCAAATACCACAGCTTCCAGGTTTCTGTTTGGCTATAATTCACTGTAACACAACCAGTGCAATGTGTAAAATTGACCCAAACTGATAAGCATCAATGGCACTGCCTGGTCTAATAGAGTGCACAACTGGCTAACCTTTACACAAGTCAAAGCACTGTCATTGTCTCACTTCATGGCTAAGAAGAGGAGCAGCCAGGGTTGACTAGCTGTGGGTTGACCTGCCGTCTAAATCACCAGTCAAGTGTTTTTTGAACGAATGTCATCAGTAGGAGTCAGCAGTCAGGGCTTGCTAAGTTTGAAAAACGAGGAATACAGTTTCAAATTGATCAAGCTACATATACAAAACAGGACCAGCTTTAGAAACTCCCAAATAATTTCACAATTCTGTCAAGGTTTTGTCACTTTAGCCTGAGACAGTTACAACACTGTGGAAAAAAAATGTTCACCTCTAAGTTTCTTCAGTTTTTCTTGTGTTTGTTTTTTTAATCACAGACGTTTTATATTGTCAACCACATTTTATTATCGAATGAACAACTAACTTAATGAACCACTTAGAGTTGAAGTTATGTATGTCAAAAACTAAGAAGACACGTCAATTTTATTTTATTCTTGTTAAAAGGGACTAGTTTTCATTTGAAGCCAATTTTGTTAAAATTTTCTTCAAATGAAATGATGGTGTGTTTCTTTGTGGCAGGACGGCTATGTTTAGAAGCAACAAAGCTGACCCAGACTGTTACACCACCACTGAATCTCTAGGCACCATGTTTAGACCAGTCCATGTTTCATACATAAGATGATGAAATAGCCCCCACTTCATGAGAGCCTCTCTGATTCACCAAATTGATTACACTGTAATTGCCATTTACTTCAATTAACATGCTGGCCGTTCAAAAGCAACCATGAAAATTGGCTTCAAATGAAAACTAGTCCCTTTTAACAAGAATAAAATAAAATCTTGAAGTGTCTTTCTTAGTTTTTGACATACATAACTTCATCCACAGTTTGATAAGGATCTTAATATTTTGCACTGTAGCTGCATGAGAAGCAGTCTGTGAATTGTGTAATAATTATGTGTCTTACTGCTGCTTCTGCCATTTTTTAAAAAAGTTCTGATGCTGGTGTGCAAATTATTGTTTCGTCAATAAACAGAGAAAAATGCCAGAACTGACCCAATCCTACACGCATATTAAACATCAGCTGTTCCGTGAAAAACATATTAGGAATTCACTCGTCATTATTTGCATTAAAACCAACAATGCCTTCCACACCACGATGCAGTGAAGATGTGTAGAAAGTCTAAAAATAAGCAAGCTATTTTTTGTTGCATTATTAGGACTTCACACTTAAAAACAAGCTTTGCTATTATTTATATAATTTCTTTTGCCAAAGAAACATCTCTTTTTTATGCAAGTGCTGATTTTACCTTGTAATGTTTGTGTTTTTGCATGAGTGGCAGTGCGGCCTCAGGAGATCAACATGCCTCTTCGCGATCTGTAAATAACGTAATGTCTGTCCTTTTTTTTTCTACGGAAGCGCATTGTTTGCTGATGTTTTACTATAAGAAAATAACATAGCGAATTAAATACCATACCAAACTTTCCTGTGAAACTGGATATGATTAAAACAGCAGCAGAATGGCAGGTACTTTCAACAATTTTCAGTCTTTTCCAAAAGGTCAGTGATCTTTCTGGTTGTGTCTGCCCTTGCAATGTACTTATTGGGTGAAAATGCCCTAAAATCTAATGCAGAGCACTATCATTTGTTCATTAAAGTTTACAACACTATGGCACAAAAAAATTCTGTGATTTACAGTTTACAGCAAGGCGTTAAAATGTCTTATTGATGCTAATGGCTTGTCATAGCACCTGTTTACAGTGTGTTTTGCCATTTACCTAACCTTTGGCCACAATAATTTCCCCTCTCAAGATGTGGTCAGACTTAGTCAGATTTTTCTAAATTGTGGAGTGTGATATTAAGACAAAAAGAAATACATACAAGCAAACTTTTTAAAACATTTTTACAAAAGGGTACTGAAAAGTATTGATGCCACTGTACACATTTAAAGTGGAATAAAATTGATTCTTTTTCTTTGCCAGTAATCCTTTACGTCACTGTCGCTTTCACATTTTCATTGGTCAATATATTTTTGTATGCATTTCATTCTTGACTGACTTTTTTCATGCAACACTACACATAATTTGTCTTTCAGTATTTGTAAATTTGTAATTAACTAAATTCAGTAAATGTTAATAATGTCTAGCTTTAATGAAAGTCTGTGTTATAACGTTTCTTCTTGCCTCTGCTGCACTGTTTCCAGATAAAGCTCTTGCTCTCTTTCGGTTGCTTGGTGAGACAATGTCTCCCTCTAGTGGGCAGTTTGCACAGATTTTATTATGGGTGTAGAATATTTATTGTCATTAAGGTACTGTTTGAAATAAATGCAGGCATCTTTCTAGTGTCTCTGAAGTTCTATCAGGGATAATGTAGTTTGCTTTGTGTCAGTGATGCTCTCAGGTACAACACAGCAAAACACCTGAACCTTCAACAGCAAATTCAAAATGTGCTCTACTGAAATCCAATTTGGTTTGGTTGATGGAATTAAATTTGCCTGATGCTTGTTCAGGAAGCAGACCATGCGTGCGATTCCACATTAATTACTGTCGTGCTGTGCAGTGACGTGTTCAGCTCTGATTCTTCTGTTTTTCAAGTAACTAAATGCTCTTCACACCTGATGCAGAAAATCCCCCCTGCACCAGTTTCCAAAGCAGTTTTCCATTTCTCCACAAGAAGATCAATTTCATGCTCCTCTCTGTTTGATGAGGTGACCCTTTCTGTTATTTAAGCACCTCATGGACGGAAGAGGTCGAGTTGGCACTGAAATGGCCCTTGGCTGGCTTGTGTTTCTTCTGTTAGTGAGCGACAGTTTTACACTTGGAAACTCACTCAACTACAGTATACTGCAAAGATGTATGAAGGATATCAACACGTTCCTTTGGGAATTAAACCAGGACAAGCCAGAGGAATATGCTGCTCTCAGTAAGTGCTCACACCTTTTGAATATTTTTCTTGTAGTTTGGCAGACTGGATATATTTTTTTCTTTATCAACAGAGCCCCAGGTTTGTTTGAAAATGAGCTGGCACATATTTAGATTTAATTCTTACAAATGCAATGTTGTGTTTGTGGTCATTTAACCCTCTTAGGCTCAAATTACTTGCAAAGATTAGCTAAGTAGCACTGAGCTGTTGCAAATCTGCAACATCTGCCTGGAGAGGGTTAAAAAAATATAACGATAAAAGACAAGTGCAATAAATATTTCACTCTTCCTAATATTTAAATGGCAGTGAGTGTAAATAAATTCATGACTGAAAAGCTTAAGGAAAAATGTTTGCCGAAGACATCAAATTAATCTTTTTTGCCTTTATTTCTGTTAATTATGATTTTCTGCTCAAAGCTATAAAACATTACTTTTAAGACAGAAAAGTGGGTTTAATGAAAAATATGTATTATATTCTTTAAAGTTGCTGTCATAGAAATACACTTTTAATCTGGCAAACAGGCCTGACTGGACCACACAATCTAATGTATGTAATGTAATGTTCTTGAATTTCTTTTGTTGTTTTTTTTTAATTTTATAAGAATGACATCCTCTTGGGCTAAATGCTGACCTACTTCCATATCAAAGCAGATGAATGTCTCAT